GTCTCCTTTAAAAAGAAGTCTCTACAGGCAACTATATAGCGAAACAAGAGAGCTTCTAGTAGGAAGCAGTAGAAAGCTACAATATATTCAGTCCTTGCAAGACAATAATGGACACTACCTTTTTTTGTTAGTTTTATTTACTTCTTATTATTTTGTATATTTTTAACATCATACTTCATTTTTTTTAAGATTTATTTATTTATGCATACAGAACTGGGGTACAGGAGAGAGGTGCAGGGGTGGTGAGAGGATTTACCAGAGACAGAGTGGGAAGCAGAACAGGCAGACAAAGAACACTGCTGAGGGGAGCAGCGGGAGGTCAGGAGAGGTCTGCCCAGGCTGGGCTGGGGGATAGAGCTCATGCTGAAGTGGTTAGCTTCTTAGTGCTGTGCTTTAACCTGCTGCACCGCCAGGGAGAGCCCCCATTCTTCATTTTCACCAATGTATGCTTTATCATCTCAGGTGTACTCCGGGTGAAATTCCCACCACCAATTCACCCAGGTGCCATCACCATAGTTGCTTGTGCTCTTTCCTCCCCTATTTTGAGCCTTCTCCCTCCTCCTCCCCTGCAGAGTGTCTCTGGCTTATAGCTGTCTGTTGATTTTGGTTTTACTTTGTTATAATTACTTTTTTTATGGACACTACTTCTATAGTGCAGTGCCTGGCCTCAGACTCACATGTGCTCAGACTGGAAGCCTTGTGGGGAAGAGAACTAGAGAAAGGGCAATCTGGAGCCTACAGCAGAGGAACCAAGCCCAGGGTATTCACATCCTGGATAACAGGATCATTTGGAACCTGACATAATGCCAAGCTGCCAAACCTTGGCTGCCTAGTGCTAAGAACTAACCGCCCCCCGCACACACCCCCAGCCCCTGTCTTTCCTCGGTGGACATTCATGCATTGTTTATGTCACATCCCCAGGATGCCCCTTTGTGATAGTTTTCCATCTTCACCAATGGCGAGACTACATTTCAAGACAGTTTAGCAACTGGGCCAGGGCTGGTAAGTTAGCAGAGATAAGATGTAACTACATGGATGATACAATCTTCTCCCTCAGCTTTCTTACCTTTCACCTATGACCAGGAGGATAATAGCAATAACTAAACTCAGGCCTTTGTAAAAAAAATAAATAAATAAAATCATGTATGTGACCATGCCAGGCACCTTAGAGACACTGCTTATATATTTGGCTAGCATAAAGGTGCTCAACTCGCAGCAATTTTGCTCCTCCAGGGACATCTGTTAACAGGGGTATTTTTGATTGTGACCCTAGAGGAATGCTCACTGCACGGTGTACAGAGGCCAGGGATGTTATTAAATATTCTAGATGCGTAAGGCAGCTCCAACAGCAAAGTCTCTCCCACCCAAAATGTCAGCAGTGGTGACATTATTCTACCCCACTAGTAGAATAATACAGGAGAGTCGCAATGACACAGCTAACAAAGTCAGCAGAGCCTGACAAGGAGACAGGTCTTGGTGTTAGGATGCTTAGAAATTAGGATCTCAGATTCAGAAGGTTACCTAAACTGTCTGAATCTGTTTTCAAATGGGATTAAAACCCCCATCTACCTCATGGGAATGCTTAGCGCCTCAGTGGGTGGGTGCTAAGCTCAGAGCTGGAGCATGGAAACACACAGTGTTAGTGTCATTATTAATGAAAAGCAAGGCAGGCTAGATGCTGAGAGAGAAACACCATGTTTTACTAAAGTGAGAAGTGAGAGGAAATTAAGAAACATTGCAGTGACACCATAGCCTTCACAATTGTCGTGGGGTTATTAATGTTTTCCTGCTGTGAAGTTCTATCCTGGATTGTACTCATCATAAAGTCATTTAGATAAATTAAACAATTGTTGAATAATATTCTGCTAACAATATAATTAATCACTTTTCACCACTCTGAAAGAAATTCAATAGACACCAAGTTTCTGGAGTAGCAAAAGTTCTTTTCACCATTAACAAGACTCATGGCTCTATTTCCTATGGTGCTTTCTTAAGAAAGCTTTTATTAAGAAGAAAGTGGCTCAGTGGTAGCATTGAAAGTTTCTGCCATGGCTTGACATCCATTTGCTTCTCCCCAAATTCCTTTCTGAAAATATCACAATACTTTTGATTTGCACCAACACTGACCTGGACTTTAAAATCTCTTTGCATAACAATGGGGTTTTAGTTTTTCACATGGTTATATTCTTGTCATTCTGTTTTGGCTGCCTTAGACAGAAGGAGCTCTACTTTACAACACTATTGGTAGCAACATCTCACCATATTTTCTAGGTTTTGGTCTCATCATTTTCATCAGCAGGTCTTCAGAACTAAAGGAACTCTCTCTTGACTCCAGCTGCTCACCTCCCACCCAGTCTTTTCTGTCCTTCAGCCATTGTGTTTATGATGGCTGATGACGTCACGTGTCCTCTCTGCCACATTCACAACTGGTTAAAACATGTCTGACTTTCCCCCAAATCTCCAGCAGATAACAAGCCAGGTTCCTCTCTCCAGATCTCCTTCATATTCCATTCATCAAATGTGTACATCAGGGAATGGAGAGACATCTTTACAAAGTTCACACTCTTCACCATCCCCTTCCCTAGAGAGAGGGTGAGAATGGGGAGTGAAGAAGAACAGGCAGGCAGAAACCAAAGGGGCACAGGGTGGGGCTTGGAGCTGGGAGGAGAGGGGAAAGGGAGAGTAAGGAGTGTACAGCTTGTAAGGCAGAGGTGATCACCAGATAAAGAAATGGACCAAAACGAGAGAAAGGGCTTCACAATCCTAACAGCTTCTGTGTGTAGAAACCATGTACACACACACACACACACACACACACACGAATGTCAAATACATACACTTGCCAAATTAATCAACCACTACAACAGCCTCAACATTTAATTCATTTCCTCCATGAACTACCCAACAATATGTGGAGTGACATGTGGGGGGAATACTCTCCATTTTCTCAGGTAAGGAAATTGAAATGCAAAAAAAAATAAAGTTTCAGTTCCCCTCTCCCAAAGTGGTTGAATAAAAGGAGAGAAGAGCAGCAGAAAGGCAGGATGGCAGTCACTGCAGATTCGGGAGTAAAAGTCCCTGGCAATTTCCAAATGTTGGAAGAACTGGAAGAAGGCCAGCAAGGAAGAGGAGATAGGGTCAGGAAGATAATGAAGCCATGACATGTACAAGATAGACAAGGGTGATCCATGGGCTTCTAAAAACACTTCATGGGAACTGAATATACAGCTTTAAAATAAAATATGACCCAAATGTCCAGAAGCACACTCTTTGTAAGATCTGTAGCAAAAATTAGTATGGATGGAGTCAATAGTTCCAATGGAGTGGTGGGCCCAAGATCCATCTCAGTGCCAGCAAAATGGCAGAATTCATAGAGCATCAAAGTTGTATTGCAAGAGCTATGGTGCCTAATGATGTCTAAAAATAGAAAATGTCCTCATCCATCACCAGAAGGATAGTGTTACAACAGTTAATCAAAAAGAAAATCCACAGTTCTCATTCTGTGGGACCTCCCCCCACCACACACACATAACACACGCACACATTGGATTTAAGCAGTCTTCATTTTCCACCCTAGTAAGTTTCAAATTACAACTTGTAGACTTCACAGGGCTGGTAAGGAAGTCCCATTCAAAGCAACTTAGCTTAAGATATTGTAAATGGTACAATATCTTATATATGTATATAAGTCAGGCTCTAGTAAATCACCGTCCTGTCAAGTGTAACCACTGTCTACATAGTGAACTTCTGAGCTCAAGAAATAATAGCCAAGACTATTGAAACTGATTCATCTAACTCATCTGTGAAACGCATCACACCATCACCTTGCTGCTGATTACTTGGCCTGGTCTCTGCCTTCTCCCTACCCTGCCCAGCCCCACCCCACAGCCCTCTTCCGGCAGCAGTCTTCCAGCAGTCTTCCGATCTCACTGTCTCAAGTGAGCTAATGTGAAGGTGTCAGGTCACAGCCTGTGGGACTACTGCTGATGTGTGGACTGCTTGTCTGAGACCCTGGTCTCTTTTCATCAGTCTTAAATGAAGCTCCCTTTCCAAGTCGTGGTCCTGTTCCCACATTCCACTACTGCCCTTGGCTTAAGCATAGATTGCAATCCCTACTGCTCCCCTCTGAAACTGGCCTTTGGTGAGAATTCAGGGCTATTCTCCATATCTTCCTCCCATCTTTTATCAGGGAGTATGTTTGTTTCATCCTCCTCCATAAGCCCCTTTTGTACCATTATCACACAACACCCTCCATGACACTGCTTTGGCCAGAAGCCATCAAGTAAGGTTGGGAAAAGTCTCTGACCACTTTCTTTTAATTTTAGAACCACATTATTTACTTTCCATCAGCCTGGGGAATGAATATTGGGCCCTTAGCCCTGTCTCTGCTGCCACGCTCAGCCAATGGCTTCTTAGGTCAGGTTTTGCTAAGGTGAAAAATAGTCACCAGGGTTACAGAGACCTGCCAGTTCTCATAATCCTTTGTGATTATACTTGAAGAAAGAGCACAAGAAGACACCTGTAGGCATGTGGTCCATGCCCACACACACACACACACACACACACACACACACACACACCATACCTCTGAATAAATTGTTCTCTTTTCCTAGAATTGCCTTTGCTTTCCAAAAACTGAAGAAGTTTAAAACAAGAGGGAGAGAAATGGACACCATGCTTACCACATCTAAGCTTCCCAGGCAAGAGATGTGAAATGAAAGTCAAAAGAAAAAAAAAAATGGATACCATAGAGAGCAATTAAGAAAGAACCAAAGTAAGCCATGGCATTCATGAGAGTGGAAAGAAATGAAAGAAGGAAGGGAGCAGAAGCAAACTGAGGAGGAAGAGAGACAGAACCAGCATACACAGGTAGGGTCAGCAGGGGTCTACTGACCTGGTGTCCGTGAACACTCTCAAAAGAAGCAAAGAGACCACATGGAAAGTCATCCTCTGAGGAACACCCAAAACAATGAAAACGTATCTCTGCTCCATTCTTTTCAATATAGGTTTTAATTCATAATGCACTCGCAGGCAAGGGAAAGGGAAGAACCAGAGCATGGTCTGAAAAGGGCAATTACACTAAATACACAGACCTTTTGCTGAAAGTTGGGGAAGGAGCAGGTAGCTACACAAGTTCCCCCTGCCCCTGCTGCTATTCCCACCCTATTCCCCAAACTCCTGGGTTTCTTGCCTCCTTTGGTTCAGAAAGAACCTACCAACCGCTTTTGGTTTTGTCTGTTTCTGTTTTTGTTTTGAACGCTTGAGGTTCTGATTAAAACAATCCCCAACTCTTCGTCTTTTTCTGAAGTGTTTTTTGTTTATTATTATTATTAATTGAATTTTTTTATCCCATTTCATGTCCACACGCAAGTTCCCACCGTTCTGTAAGTTCAGGAAAGCCGGGGAGGCGGGAACTCCCCCACAGTAGTTTCTAATGGGAGAGAAGACTACTTCGCAGTCAGTCCGGGTGTGCCCCCTCCTCCCCAGGCGCCCCTTCCCAAACCCCGTCGGGTCTCCAAAGGCCAGAGTAAGCCGGGCGGCTGTAGCTGGCGCTGTAATCGTAGGACACCTGATGTGGCGGCAGTGGCGGGGGCAAGGCGCAGTCTGAGAAGAAGGGGGCGAAAGAGGCCAAAAGGCCGGGCCCGTCCTCCCCACCCGGAGAGTCCGCCGGGGCCGGGTACTGGGGACGCAAGGGCTCGTTCAAGGTCAAGCCGCCGCGGGGGGCAGCGACCGGAGGCTTCTTGGTCGTGGGACAGGCCGGGACGCTCCAGGGCTCTGGGTATAGTAGGCTCCCCACCATCGCGGGCGGGGGCTCAAAGAGGCTGGGCTCCAGCTCCAGGGATCCCCGCAGGACGGCGGCTCCAGTGGGGAACACATCGAGAGGCTCCGCGGCGACTAAGACGCCCGCCTCGGTGGTGGCGCCGTAGTCCGGCCCCAGCAGCTCGAAGAACTCCACCGCCTCGGCGCCCTTCTCCAAGTCGCCCAAGCTCACACCCGGCCCCGACGGGACGCAAGCGCCGCTACCCGCCCGAGAAGGCTCGGTGAAGAAGGACGGCGGCAGGTTGCGGGCTCGCAGAGGGACCTTCCTGGCGCCGGGCACCGCCGTGCCCCCCAGGGGACCGATCGCGTCCCCGCCGCCGCCCCCGGAGCCCGCCGCGCCGAGCCCCGCCGGGGGTGCCGCCAAGGTGCCCCCCACCGGCTCAGCGCCCCCGGGGACGTGGCGAAGCGAGTCGAAAAGTGCGGCCAGGCTCCGACTCTGAAGGCTGGCGGCCGCCGCGGCCTGCGACGCCTCCCTCCGTGGGGCTACCTTGCCGTGTGCTGGGACCGCGACCGTCTGGGCGCCGGGAGCGGCGAGCGGCCGCTTGGCGGGTGCGTCGGCCGCTCCCGGAGAGGGAGGACCCGGGGGCGCGGCGCCCATGAGGCCGCTGCAGCGCTTGATCTGCTTCTGCAGGTACTTGCGGTGGTTCACCTTCCGCTTGGACTTGCCCGGCTTGTCCAGTGCCAGCTTGATGTTGCTGGACGCCGAGTCCATGAAGCTGAGCAGGTCGCGGGTGGCCTCGCGCACGTCCCCACCCTCGGTGCCTGCCAGCAGCGCGCTAGCCGGCGTCCCGGTCTCCTCGTCCTCGAAGCAGCAGCCCTTGTCCAGGGCCCCGAAGGCGCCCCCCAGCCCGTCCGAGGAACCCCCGAAGCCGAAGGGGACGAAGGGGTGCGTGCTGAGGAGCGCGGCCTGCACGGCCATCGTTGCGGCACCCCGGGTGTCCGCCGCGCGGCCCGCGCCCCTCGGCCGCTTCCAGCCCGCCGCCCAGGCCCGGCTCCAGCCGAGGCGCGGGGCGCAGGGCAGCCTCACCGCTCCTAGCTGGGCTGGCTGCTCGGCCTCCCGGGGGAGCTCGTTAGGTCTTGTAAGAGAGGGGCGGAGGGAGCGAGCGCGGCGACCGCCCCGGTGGCGGAGGGGTGGGGCTTACTTAGCGGAGCTGGGGACCGAGCGAGGCTGGGGTGAGGGGTCGCTTTCCAGTAGTCAGGACTTTCTGAAACTCACTGCCTTAACCCCTTCGTCTCCGTTCGCACGGCGGCGTTTCTCCTGTCTACTTTAACTGCCCGCGGGAGAGAGACTGGCTAGGGGTTCCGCAAAAGCCGGCCCCAGTAGCAATTATCACCTGGTGAGGAGACTCTTCCAGAGGCGGAAAAGGAGAATATCCAGAGAGGAGTATTTCCACCCCAGCTCTGGTAACAGTGAGGGCCAGTTACTGCTTATGCTAGCCACTGTGCATCATTATCCATTTAATTGTTGAATGAAGTGTTACCAAGTTTGAGGGTTCCTTGGGCTTTGACAGTGGCCATGAAGGAATTCAAAGCCACATCGAGGCAAAGTAAAGCAAATTAGAAGACAGTAAGCCCAGGAAGAGCTCCCGGGGCAGAGTCCAGGAAAGAACAATAATTAGGAAAGGCAGAGAGGGAATTCCTTACTTAAAAGAGAGTCCTATGCAGAATGAGCATAGGACTCTGAATCCAATTGATACTTTCAGTCTGAAAAATATCTCTAACTCCCAGAGTTAGTTTAGCTCTAACATAATAGCATTCAAAATAAATGGACTGTATAAAGACTCATATGTTAAAGTATCTTCATTTCCAGACCTCTGGCATTCTAAGCATTCCATCAAAGTTGATTTGGAGACCCTGTAAGACTTAACTCAAATGCTACCTGTCTTCACAAGCTGAGCCTGGGTGCCTCTGGAAGACCTGATACATATTGTATTATTCTGTCCAATTCTCCTTCCCCTTCCTAAATGAGAGCCCGTGGCGCTGTTCCTCATCTGAAAAAGGTGGGAATGATCATGGCTGGTTGTTTTTGTTTGTTTTTTTTTTTTTCATTTTTTGTGAAAGAAGCACATGATAGAACAGGCAAATCATACCTGAGTCACACTTTTCTTTATGGATCATCTCAAGATTCTCTGGGAGGGTCTGTATGAAGTTCCTGGCACAACATAGCAACTTCGCAAATATCCATGTTCTATTCCTTAGGTAACATCCTTCCCGTCCCAATCCATCATCCTATAATATCAACATTGTTTTTCCTTTTTCCCAACAAAGCAAGTGATTATTTTCAGACAAGAGACCAGTAACACTTGCAGATTGTAAAAACTGAGGAAAAAGCAGTTTCATAGAATAGCATGAACACTGAAGTTAGAGCCAGATTAAGGCTGGAGTCCAATCTTGTCCCCTGTGCATACAAAATGACTGTAGACAAGTCTCTTAAACTTCTGGATCACAAAGATCCATAGACAATAGGAATGATAATGTGAGCTTATTTGATAAGGCCATTGCAAAAATCAATTAAGAACAGGGAAGGGGAAGTCCTTTGTCACCATGAGAATCTATGCACAAATAGAAAACATTCATGGCTTCAAAGTTCTATAGTCTCATTCAACAAAATTGAGCCTTACACAAGAAATACTCATTCTAACCCTTATTCTTAAAACCAGTGTGTAGAAACTGAGAACAGATAGCTAACTAGCTAGTAGTGAACACAGAGTAAGACGGACAGGATTCTTTCCTTTTCAGCTGGAAAGATGCATATGCAAATGAGTCATTTCCATGTAATGCATGTCTCAATCAAATCTTCCCAGAGGTGTCCCAAAGGAAGCTTACAGGTAGCATTTGCACTAAGACTTAAATAAGGCATTTCAGTGCACCAAACAAGCTGTGTCTCCCAGAGTAGCCTGAGCAGAGGCATGGGTCTATGAAAGCAATGATGTTTATGCAAAACAGCAGATAATAAGGCAACAAAGAGCAACTTCTGCTGGCAATAGCTCTATACCTGAGACCTAAAGGAAACCTGCAGGTCTTCAGCATTCAACTAAGTTGTGTGTGGAGCCCCCACATCATGGTCTCACTTGCTGTCCCCCTTGATCTTTTCTTTGGGGAAGAGCTCTATCTGGAATGAAATTACTTTCAGAAAAGTCAGCGACCATCTCCTGCCAGACCCGTCAGCCCCTCCTCCTACATCCTGAGTGAGCACGCTCAGTTAAGTAGCTTTGACATCAATACATTTCACTTCCTATGGGGCAGAGGGACCCTGCTCCAGTCTATACTGGGGCCTCTCTGCAGAGCTCCAAACTAGAGCTCTTTCACCCCAGTGATACCTAATGCTGAGCAAGTGGGATTAGTCTCCTTGGGAACCAAGCCCCCCAGCGGCTCAAGGGCTGAACTCGCCCCAAACCGTTTGAGAGAATTGAGATTTCATATTGTTCATTTACACTTGGATTTCAGGACATTACTTAGACAAAAGCCCACCTGAGAGCTACCCTCTTTCTTGTGGGTAAATACAGCAGGAAGATCAAAAGCTGACTTACTTATTTTGTTTTCCTTTTTGTAACTTTAATCATATTCCCTGCAGGATAATCTTAGTCCTCAGAGATGTCAGGAATGCACATTCATAAAGGGAGATATAATTATGCATTTTTTCCTCACTCTTGTCATACCAATTTTCTGTCACTCAATATTTTGAAACCACAAACGAATTAATTCCTTGGTTTTACCACAGAATTGGTAAAGTATCTCTATCATCATAAAATAACATTATCACAAATTGTACATCTCTTAAAAATGTATCTTTTTCCCTTGCAAATCAAATTCTACTAACACTAGGTCTTAATTTCCATCTTAAAATATTAATGCTATTCTAGCCACCTCTAATCGTATCATAAAGATACAAGACTATCCCAAGACTAGGTGGTTTAAAACAATAGCCATCTTGGCCCTCCCTGGTGGCGCAGCGGGTTAAAGCACAGCACTAAGAAGCTAAAGCCACTTCCGCATGAGTTCGGTCCCCGCCTGCCCCTAGGAGATCCACATGGCGTGGCAGACCTCTCCTGACCCACCCACTGCTCCCTCAGCAGTGTACTTCGTCCATCTGCCTGTTCTGCTCCCCGCTCTGTCTCTGGTGAATCCTCTCACCCTCCGCATCTCTGGCCTGTACCCCAGTTCTGTATGAATAAATAAATAAATCTTTTAAAAAAAAATAGCCATCTTATTCTATCTCACATTACTATGAGTCAGTAGTTTAAGCTGTGCCTAGCTGGGTGATTCTTTGGTCCTAGTGACAATAACTGATTTGGAAATCTAAGGTAGCTTCAACCTGTGCCTACAAGCACAGTGAGCACTCAAGAATTCCTGAGACAATACTGCAGGAGGTCCCCTGTAGCACCTGCCAGGCATCTTATATCCCAGCCCCAGAATTCCCAGAACATCACTGCTGCTACATTCTTTGGGTCAAGCAAGTTCTCAGGGCCAGCTCATATTCAAGGAAAGGGAAATTAGACGCCAATCCCAAAGAAAAAAATAACAAAGAATTTGTTCGGCATGGGTCCTAAATTTCTTTTACTCTAAGCACCGCCCTCTTTGCTTTCTTAGTAATTGGTTTGTTGAAGAAACTAGGTCAATGCCTTGTCATTCCCACTTGATTAGTTGCCTCCATTCCCATGGCATCGTTGAACCTATTTCGCTGGCCCTCATGTTTCCTGTAAAAGTAGGCTGTGGGGGCCACACTGGAAATGAGCCCTCTCTGAATATGCATTGGGATGTCTGACTTTGAACCTAGACATTTTTTTTTTTAAATTATGAAACACAACTAAGGATTTTATGAAGCAATTTTTGTATAAAGCAAAGTCAAGTGAATCTGTGTATCGAATTGGTGGCATAACCATATAGAGAGGATGTTTTTAAGAGAATTTCAAATAGTAATTAGACTGTTCATCCCTATTGAGATATTTTTCAAGGACAGAGAATGGCAACAGAAAAAGAAAACTGGTAATTATGTTATTAGTAAGAATATTGGTATTTTTATTCAGAAACTACTTATATAATGCAGTATATAATATATATGATCTATAACTTATTATATAATATGTCACATATATAATAATGTAAGTGAGCAAATTTATCTGATCAAGCCTCTGTAGCTACCTTTCACAAACAGGAAACAAAATAGCTGTGGTTTATCATAATGGCCCCAAATAAAACGCTGATACCTGGTTCCAAGCCCTTTTGCAATATGGCATCATCGCTCCTCCCATCAACAATGGGGTCTGGTTCTCCACACCTTTGAATCTGTGCTGAAGATGAGGCACAGGGCAAAGAGAGAGCTCTTAGGGTAAGAATAGAAGAGAAAAATCCTCAGAAAAGTTAAAGGAGGCTCCGGAGATAAGGGCAACAAATTCCAAAGGGAACTTGTCAATTACCCCAGGATTAAGGGCAATAGGACCGTCTGGAACAAGGACAATAAAGAAAAAGGACTCTAAGATAAGAGCTGGGACACGGAGATTTAGTTCTGGACACAGAGACATTAAGGCAATGAGTGAGACCACAGAGCACTAACCAATCACAGAGAGACTGGTGGAACTTTAGAATAACCAAGGGAAAAGGGTCTATATTCCCTGAGACCCAACTCCCTTGAGGCTTCCTTGCCCCTCCCTGGTCTGGTTCTACTGACCTGGAAGTCCCACTGTATTTCCATCCCTTTTCTCCTCAATAAACTATTTCTGTAAACCAATTTGCCTCCTCACTTGTCTGCTTGAGCATCTGTGAAGTTCCTACTGCGGCTTCATGAGACACCAACCAGCAGTTGTCTAGTGGCTGGAACTCAGCGTTGCCATTCAGCCTGGGATCCATTTCTGGCTGGGAGAGTAGGCCTGAAAACATGACATTTCTGGTTTCAGAGAGTGCACAAGTTCCAAACTTTTGCAACCTTGCCAGGTAAGAAGCTTTGTAGCCTTCCTTTTCACAATATCGAATGATGAGGCACTAGGGTCTGAATAATCCCAGGAGAAAAAAGGTACCCTGATGACATTTAACATCACTGTCCAACACACCAGGGTA